TCCAGGCTGCTGCAGTGGAGCCGCAAGATGGCAGGCAGTGGTGTGTCCCCACGCCCGGATCTGGCCTTTCCAGAATCAGCTGGTGCTCATTTTCAACAGATTTTTAAATTGCAACCTCATATGCTTTTTTTTTTTTTCTTTTGCAGCCGGGACTGTTGCTGGCGATGGCACGATGTGAAGGCCCGGCGAGCTGCACCATCACGGGGCTGAGCTTTGGGCAGCATCCCCTTCCGCGTCCGATGGGGAGAGGCTGGAAAGCAGCCGAAAAACAGTGAGACAGCAGGCCAACGATCTACTGTTGTGAAGGAGTTAAGTGACAGAGAGACAAAACAGACCCTCCAGCAACTTGTTGCTTGACTTCTGGGATTGGATGCAACTTCAGCCCATGTGAGCCAAAAACCATCCCACCAACACCCCCCTCCCTCGCCAAGCTGCAGAGGGAGGAATGGCACCATTGATGCCTCGGGATCTCCCTGGGAACAGGATCAGAGAGGGGGAAAGTGGAAGAGGAGAGCGGAGCGCAGACCAGAGCGAGCAGTGGGGAATGGGGGGGGGTGGCAGTGGGGACGAGCAGCGTGTGGAAGCCATCCGTGCATCTGAGACACCCCGCCATGAGCAGTAACAGGTTTACTGCAAAATCTGCTGCATCGGGGAAGAAAACGAAGCAACGTACTGTGCATGTGGCGGGGGGACGGCGTGTTTCCTCACAGCAGATTAAAGCCAGCAGCAGTATCAGCGGAGCGAGCTTGCAGGGAAAAGCAAAAGCAGGCAAGAAGAGCTTGCTCTTCCTACAGGTTTTGTGGGGAGGAGACGAACAAGGCGAGCAAAGCAGGGAGACAAGGGACACTTCTCCACCCACATCCTCCTCCTCCCCTCCAGCCCCCTGGGGCACCTGCGGTAGGAAAATAGCCTCAGCAGTATCACCTCCTCCCTCTTCTCTCCAGCCATGAACTGAGGGTCTCTGGGTGGTGGTGGCTTTCACCTGGGCTGGGGTCAGCAACCTGGAGCGCCAGTGGCCGTAGAGCCCACCCAAAGCCTCACAGTTCACCACCGAGGGGCTTGTCCCTTCGCTGGGTGGCAAAGCAGCTGCTGTAGGGCAGAAGCATGGGAGTTCATGGTGGGCCAGGGAAAGGACTGGCAGTGGGCTGGCTGAGCACCGCTCCTGGGTATCAGCTCTGCACCTTGCAAGCACTGCTCTGCTGTCCCACAACAGCACCACATTCCCGGAGCATTCCCACACTGCTGAGGGGAAGAGCTTGTACTCTCCGCCAGTGCCTGCACTGGTAGCCCCCACTCACTGGGATGTCTCCTCACCTGCCTCCTGATGGGAGCAGTGTCTTGGGCAAGCACAGGCAGCGACTTAGTCTTGGTCTCTGCCTCTGCCCATTTCCTCTTCACATTATCTTCCCAACCGTTCTTCTCCCCTGCTCCCTTCTAGCTGAGGGAATGAAACCCACAGTGGTGTCAGTCAGGGAAGTGGTGGTGTTGCCATCCTCTGCCCAGAAACAGTGCAGATCTCCCCACTGCGGGTGCTCCTCTCCTGGAAGCTTGGCTCTGCCTGCACTGGCTCACATGACACCGGTGCTGCTTGAGTCACCTTCACATCAGCTTTGCTGAGCATTTTGTGGCCCCAGACTACTTCAGGATGCCATTAACTTCTTTACAAGGAGCTAGTGGGAGAGGACTGATGTATGCTGGTGGTTTTGCTTGCCTACACGCACAGATGCAGATGCCTACTCCTGCCTCCCCTCTTGAAGGTGTATTTTCACACGTGTGATTTGGGTTTCACCTTTGTGCCTGACTGCACAGTGGTGGGAGCAGCTCCCAGGGCTCCTCCATGACAGGTATGTGCACGAGGCCACCCAAAGCAGTTGTAAAGCTTCCTCATCCCAACCCAAACATCCGCATCTCTGCAGGTACTCCTTCCCCATCCGACTGAGGCAGGAGGACACAACCGTGACCTTCACTCCATGGTGTGTTGCTACAAGCCTGGCAAACTGGTTGAGGCTTCAACCATTCCTCTCAGACAACAGACACCTTTCAACCAGCAGGCTCCTGATGGCCTGCCATTATTTTAAACTGTGGTCTGCTCCCTGCCCCCCTGCCATTATTTTAACCTGTGGCCTGTAAGGTGATTTTGAAGGGGAAACTCGACACCCTAAGTTTCCCCCTCAAACTGCTGCTGTTTGGTTGCTGTCTGTCCCCTCCTACTTCCACACAGCCCAACGTGCTGTCTCGGCACCACATCGTCCTGACTCTGGCATTTTAATGCAAGAGCAGCCAGGGATTTGGCGCACGAGGCACAGCTGATGCCACCCAGCACCTGGAGCTCACTGCCTCGTTTCCAAAAGGAAGAGAAGGAAGCCACTGTCTGGTCATTTTGGCCTGCCTGGAGCGCTCTCCGCCAGCGCCTGCTCAGCGATGCAGCTCGCCTCGGCTGACGAACCTGTGGAAAGCATCAGAAATGTCAAAATTGCCTTCTGCTCTGCAGCAGGTCTACCAGTGATTTGTTTTTCTCTAAGCCAGGCAGCTGCAGGACACGGTAGTCTCTGCAGTTTTAACTGTCATGTCCTCCTGATTGTATTTTTGGATCCACAGCTCAGACGCAACCTCCATTTATAGGACAGGCAAACGGCACCGATATGGTCATCGTTTCTCCCCTGCACGCCTACCTTCCCCCTGGGATGCTTAGAAATATTCCTAACTCCTCCTTCCACCCCAAAAAGCTGTCTGTATTTTGCAAGAAGGGGAAGCTGTAGTCAAAAATGATTGTTGCTTCAGGAAAAAAGAAAAAGGTGGCGGGAAGGAACAGGCTTTCCTCCTCTCACCACATCCAGTGGAGATGGAGGCCAAACCGTAAAAGTCAGGACAAAGCGATGCCGGCCTGAGTGAGCAACCATGCCCCAGGGAACTGGGGCTCTGTGCCTTTGGATAAAATAGATCCCTCTTACCTTCACTTGACGCTGCCTGTACTGCGGAGCTTCTCCCTTAGGTCGCTTGCTGAAGCTTTTCTTTCTTCCCCCAAACACAACCCTTAATGTGCGCTACAAAAACAGGGCTGCCGGCAGCCCTGTGCTGGAGCTGCCGTGGGTTGTCACAGAGCTCGGGCGCTTTGCGGTAGGGGAACAGCAGCAGAGCCATTTCAATGGGCAGCAGCTGAAAAAGGGTTTTCTTTCCCAGGTCTGTAAGCATTTGCTGCTTTACAGTCCATATTTTCCCATTTGAAATCAAATCTGAAATCAAATTTAACCGTTATGGCTTTACGCGCTGCACCAGAGGAGAGGTTGAAAGGGTGTGGGGGGGAGTGCCTGGAGTCTGCCATTTGGAAGGATCCATTAAAAAGAAAAGCAATAAAAAAATACAAAAAGAAACTGTCTTCTTGCAGGCACAGCCTCAAGCAAATGCACACGAAGCCACGAAGGAGAGGGAAATGCCTGCACTGATGTGTCTGTCCCCAGCCAACAACATACGCTCAGGGCAATATGCACAGACTGAAGGGAGACGAACCAGAATGATGTAGCTGGACCCAAACCAAAGTTCTCAAGAAAATAAATTCCCCGATCAGCAAGTATCTGGGTTCCAGGTCCTGAAAAACCAAACACTACACAAAATGGACTATCATAAACAGAGACATCTGACATTTTACTCAGCTGGACAGGACATTCAAATGGGAGTTCAAATCCCAGGGAATGGAATTTAACCTGGATATCCCGCTGTCTGGATGAATGCTTTGACCACTGTTAAGATCACCTTTCCCTACCCCTGCCTCCTGTTCTATTCCTGCCCCCATCACCAAAACCGCCTTGCAAACTCAGGATGAGCTTTCTACCAGCTAAACCTGGTAAATAAACTGTCCAGCTGTGAACTCCCCGGATTCTAGTTGTTCCTTTTTCCTTCTTCAGGGTAGAAAACAGCGAACCATATCATTTCAGAGCACTGACACCAGCTGATAAAATAATCCTGACATTTGCTTGCTGCAGATTAAAAAAAGCCCCAGCAATTACTGAAAAGCCTGCAAGTTTTGGTTCTGTCAATGACCATCTTTATTCCCTATCACTACAGTACACTGATGTTTAACATCAGCTATCAAATTTCCCATCCTCAATAACTAGCAAAAAAGTGTTGATCCAAAGGTGGCATCATGAACAACCAGTGAAATAAATTTACTGTATCTACCACTGCTGACATGAAGGGACACAGCCTCTTGTAGCAGGAAGAATTTCTTTGACCTTGTTGGAGTTCCCGGCGTTTGCTGAGGCTGTCAACATAGGGGCCAAAATTCGACGCAGTGAGGAGGATACCAGGCCATTTGGCACAGGAGATACTCTGAAAACTACATAATGGTTTTTTTGGTAACAATTTTTGGCCACTGAGAACTACAGCTTGGCTTGAACTGGGAAAATACCAGTAGAAAGCCAACCAAGAACTAGTTTGTTCATACACTGCTTATTTTCAGCTTTCCAGCCAATCTAGCACATGAATTTCCTGAGTTTACTTTCACCTGACACATGAAAGTGCTTTATGAGCACTGATAAAAACAAACATTCAGTTAATGTCCCCCAAGCTAAACAGATGGCACTGGGAACAGTTAGTGAAATTTTCCTCTGTAGGGGAGCTGGTCTAGTCAAACTCAAGAGCAGAAGCAAGAGGGAGTAGTTTCTAATAATGACACACCACCTAATTGTATAGAACATAATTTCAACTCAGCTGCAAGAAAGCATGTCCACATGAAATGCTATTTGCATAAATTACACTTAGCCAGGCCAAGTCCTGCATCCATTGCGCTACACGATGGAGCTTAATGCCGACCTCAGTGAGCCAGAGGTGTGGTTCTCAACTGTGTGGGAGTGAGACCAAACCCACAGTCAAAAACTGGGCATAGCAACAAGAAGAGCTGCCCAGCCTAAGAGTTGCCTAGCTTAAGTCCCCGAACTCCAGATAATTCTCCTCCCTCATTCACTGACTGCCCACTCCTGAACACAAGACAAAAAACTTCAACAGGAAGCTCCAGCAAGATTTTATTCAATGGTATACAACAGGGAGAAATTAAGATTAAAGAAGAATTGTATACATTACTGATTTTTCAAGTTGCTAAAACAAACCCATAGTGACACAAACAACTGAGGCTGACGACATAACAAGAAGCGTGGTCACCATCTCTCTAGTGTCCATACCTGCAAATATAGAATATGTTAATGCTTTTTAAAAAATTATGTTTAATACATGCGCTGATTTGGGCAGATTTATTTTCATTCTACCACGATGTAACTAACATGTAAACCAGATGAAGGTGAAATGCTATGGTATGGAAACCTTAGGAAGTTCTGCACATTTCACTTCCCCCAAAAGTCTATCCAGATACTAGTTAGCAGAGAGACTGAGCAATCCACAATATCATATGCAAGAGACCCTCAGTATCATCATCTTTTGCCCTGAATCCCACTTCAAATATACCCTGCATGAAAACAAGGCCAAAGCCTGTCATAGCCCCAGACATATTACTGAGCACCCACAAGAAGATACTCATTCATGTCTCCATTTCTCATCATGCTGCCCATGCAATATTAAGTCACCAGCCAGGCAACATGGGCTCAGTTTTCATTAAGTGTTCATTAAAACATCTTAATATCAAAACTATGGTACTCAAGTTGTTATGTCAATGACGATTTGCACAACTGATTGTGAACCAGATCCCAGAGACAATCCTGAACAGTTATAATACTGTTTTGCTTTGTTTTAATCTGGACTCTGATTAGAACTAATGTGGTTTGTTTGGTTTTTTTTTAAAGGGGGATGGGGACAGGGAAAATCCACAGTTAAGAAAAGATTAATGTATAAATGGTGCAGAATAAAGCAAATGACAGGCCAACTTCCTAACTTCTCAATGTACAATTACCTCTCAAAACACAATTACCCCTCAAAAACCCATCCATGGACCTCCTATCATTATTCTAACAACAGACCTTTGAAAAACAAAACAAACACAGAAATTATGACTAAATGGGCCAAGGCTGTAGCAATGGCTACGTGGATATTTGATTCCCAGATGCTAGGAAATCAGCTGTATTAATCTCTGAGCCTATTAGAGTTATAAAACAAATCACCAAGATACAGAGGGACCCAGTAAGATATCCGGCACCTCAGCAGAAATGCTTTGGAACACAAGCAGCTAAATTCAGGTCATTTTCTAAACCCAAATTGCTCATGCGGCAGTATAGTATTCACCTGAGGCTCCACTTTCAGTGAATTCCATTTCTCTTCTGCTCTCTAGTCTTTAGAGAGAATGTCAATAGGAGTCACTACTTTTTACAACTCCCACTTACCCCACAGCTACTTGGGCTTCCTTCAGAGCTCATTTACCACGGGGTGACTAAGGAAAGGTCCCTATACAGCAAGGTGGAAAAAAAACCTTTCCCAACAGCAACTATGCCCTCAGACCCACAAATGAGAGAGATTACCCACATATCTGACATTGATCGTTTCTATTAACGGAAGGACAATTGGATTTTTCATCTTGAAATCCATGCAGGATACCTACTTTTGGAACTCCCATTCCCTGTTGTCTAGTGGACATACTTGGCGAGTTTTGAGCCAGCGAGAGATGCAGTGGAAGTGGAAAGCATGCTGGAAGAGAAAGTTCAGATCACATCATTTCAGAACACATGAATGTATCTCAATGTGAAAACTACCACTGAAAGCATCATAGTGAGAAGAGAGTAGCAAGTGTTTACAGACAAAGGTGGGGAGGACTAATCAGTCAGCTCACTGGTAAACACCAAGGAACTGATCCACATTTTCAGAGAGGAAGGGAACATCAGTGAAATGGCAGCTTGTTCCACAGTGCATGCAGCGGCAAGCAACTGACTTCTGATGAAGGAGAGAACGCAGAGTTTAGCAGCTGCTAAAATTGGCAGAGCAGATGCTGATAAGAAGCATAATCAGAAAGACAAGAAAGAGGATCTCACAGCAAGTAGCAGGGATGATACGTATGTATACATGCTGAAGCTTTCTGCCGACTTCTGGACAAACCAAAGCCTGAATAAAAAGGAACTTGCAAAATTAGAAAGAAAAAGAATCTCTATTATGTGTTTAATACGGACACCCTTTTCCATACCCCATTCAGCTACTTAAAAACAAGATTCCACTTGTGGTAACTCTTGCATACAAAAACATAATTTTGACACTAGAATATTCTGACATGGTTAAAAAAGTTGCTCTTGTCCTCTACAAACAGAATTGCAACATTTATAATCCTGTTCCAGCATTATCACGCTGTAACTTGATCCCACAGCATAGTGAGGATGGACTGAGGAACACGTAGTTATTCCATTATGGAAAATTTTATCTTCCAACTCAGGCCCAGGCTAGCTAAGAGGTATGCAAGTTTGAGTTCACATGCTAGTGAGACCATGTATGAAGGAGTGCATACCGCAACGAATTGAAGAGATGGAGATCATACACTAGAACCGTTTTGATCTTCCTCCAAAAGGGGAAGCAAATCACCTAGTTACTCCACATTGACTCGTGAATCAGCCAGCACAAAGACAAATCAAGCATGCTGACATCCAATTAATCCTATTACCAGGAAAAAAAAGGCATAGCTCCTAGGCAGAACCTTGATCAGAAAAATCATGCTCAAAATTAAAGATCTATTATGCTTCAAAAAAATACGGGTATCTATCTTTCTCCCTTCTCTTCTGTGTCTTCCCTATTACACCTCTCCAACTTTCATTCTTTCTTATTTTTTCTTCAAAGTTCTTTTTTCTGGTGGATTATCTGAAACATTTTATAGAACTTGTTTTGTCCTGAGTCATGAAAAAAGGGGATAGCATCACCACGCATGAGCTCCACAATAGAACAGTTTTCCTTACATTGCAGACGCCCCATGCAACTGTGCACTCTTCAGAGGTAGCTGATGCTTGGTTTGCTTGACATTCTATGCCTGTGAAAACAAAGATTAAACACATATATGCAGGAGTAGAAGAGGTACATGCAACACCAACTGGTAGATTTCTTCATCATAGCAAGGGGGGGGTGGAGAAGAGCTCTTTGTTTTGTTGCGTTTATTACATCAGGAAGAGTCAAGAGCTGTTGGTTTAATGTGTACTGTTTTCCCAAAAGCATCAGATGAAAATATACTTCATCCTGCTTTCCTCCTTCCTCTACATTTTTAGTATTCCAGATTTCCAGCGGCAAGAGCACATAGCTCATCTACCAGTAACATGTGTCTGCTTTCCAAATTTTAAGAATAAATATTTTTAATTTGTTCTCTTGTGTTTTAATAGATGTCTTTTGATGATCAGTTGCAGTAGCAGAGCCATGAAAGAAAGTTTACTTAAATTTCTTAGCCAGGTTTCTCTAAATATAAATTAATCGTCTTGTCAGACATTTTGTACTATCAGCTATATTTACAAATTCATTTGCTCATGTAATGCTGGAGTTTGCCGGCCTCTCTTCTATAGTCTTGTGACAGGTAAGCACAGCCCAAAAATACACAATAGAAAATACAGTTTAAAATGTATTTTTGAACTTTTTACACCTTAGAGTAATGATGATCCCAAAAAAAGATAAATACTATTTATGGGCTTGGGTTATGTTTTACTTTTTGTGTCAGATGGCATGGATGAAGGAGATGAGAGAGGGAAAAGAAGGAAGAACAGCACTGAGAAAATCAATCCAGCAACCTGTTTCTTCATTCTACAGCCTGAAAAATTCACGAAGAAACTTCAGGAAAAAAAAAAAAGATATTTCTAACTCCTCCACAGCCAGCAGCACAAACCTATGAGACCAACATTTTACTTCCTGCAAAAGGATGCTTTCTTTAAAAGTCAAGCCCAAATGGTTTAAAAAGACATGCTGATAGCCAGCATGATAGCTCGAGCTTATTTGCTCTGTCCCATTCATTCCTTTCTCCATTTTTCACTCTCTCTCAGGTATGGAGATGAACAAAATAAGAGAAAGGCCCTTTTTTCCCCGCGAGATGTGAAAGAGATCAGTTAACCTTGGTCACGAGGAACTACTCAAAACAACACTGAGGTCTAAAGAAACTCAGCAGCAACAACTCTTCTGCAAGACTTGAAGGAACCTGTATTTATTATATGTTTTACATCAAGATGTGATATACCACAGCAGGAAATCCAAAGCTCAATAGCTGGCCTGCCAATAGAAGTGCAAAATCCAGTGCACCTGAAATGTCTGATGTCTTAATTCCTTAAGCCCTCAATACATACAGCAATAAAACTAAATCTGATTAAGAAAATGGACAATGCTCAAGAACCTTGAAGAGCTTCAGTTACTTTGGACATTTATTTAAAATTTGACACCCAAGATTGCTGCAACAATTTTACTGTTACTGCAGTATAGACTCATGGTCTTGCTGAGTATCATGGGGCATATTATATTAAGTTTTAAATATTTGGCATGAGTCTGTACAGTAACAGAAAATGGTGAGAAGATGAGCAGTAGGAAAAGGAGAGGAAACTCATTTGAAGGAAGAAAAGTCAACTGGTAAGCAAACTTAAACTCAGGAAGTCTCTGTCTGCTGAAAGCAAGGAAAATATTGCAGCACACAATATACTCATCTTGTTTCTTCTCCTCTCTCCCTGCTATGCCCAGGATATTGGACATATTAGATCTGAAGTCCATCTAGCCCATTTTTATGTCATTTTGTCTTTTTTTTCCCCCCTCTTTAAGTGGCCTTAACCTGTGAGCTGTATGCTTTGGAACACAATACATTTTTTTTTCCCCAGGCTTTAAAGGATTCTGTATTTTGACTGGGAGTGAGAGGAAGAAATTTAACCCTATCCCAGCTGAAACCAGGACAGTTAGGTAAGGAAGAAAAGCAGCACTGAAATTCATTTTAGTGTTACTCAAACACTTACTGACCAGCAAGTACAGTCTAAAACATGACAGTCCCAAAAGCTTAAGAGGACAGACGAACTTTGCAGAAATAGCTGAGGAGGAGTTCTCTGGTGGTGATGTAAGGCCCTTCCAACAACACACCCAGATTTAACTCCCTCATCAAACAGGCTGGAGACTACTGCTGGCACTACCACCTTTGACTGCCAAAAAAGGGCACCCCAAAAGCTAAAGCACTTTTTGGTATCCTACTTGCCTCATTTCAAAAAAGGACAATATATCAACAAAGAAATAAAACAAGTGAACATTCTCCATCAGAGAATGAAAGCTGATGATTCTGGCTCTTGATAGAAAGACGAGCTATTTACCAGCTGCTGACCCAAAAGAAGCGATAAGAGTCAGATAGTAACAGGTACTGGAGGAATACTGAATGGCTCTTCTTTTGCCTTGCTTTTGACAGAGTATCTGGAGGTGAGGGCAGAAAGATACAGCTAAAACCTGAAATACCTGTAAATAATTGTGAAAGATGCAATGGGAGCATTTCAACTCAGGGAGTTACAGAAATGCACATTATATAATGGTAACTTCTGAATCTTGGCATCTATTAAGAACCATCCCTCTTCCTATACATTTTCTGTTGCAGAAATCTTCTGTATATTTATGTAACAAGAAAAGTAGCCCAAGATTTAAGTAGCCATAATGGCAGGTAACAGAAGTAAAGTACATGTCTTTTGTTCGCAGCTACACTAATAGCCCAATGCACTGGTAAATTTGATGATAAGAGTCTTCGAAGCGGCTTCCGCTTGAGCAACGGTAGCCACTGCCTGGGTCCCCCTTTCTCTTTACATGTTGCCTTCTAAAATTATGTCATGAAGGGATCGACTTATTGGGAAGAAGAGAAATAAATACATATAGCTTGGCTAACACAAAACATCATGTACTCACTCAGAAAAGACAGAAAAACCACATAACCCGGCTGATAAACTTGAAGTACACTTGTTACTTGTCCTATGAGGAGTGGCTGTCCTATAAGGAGCGGCTAAGGACTTTGGGCTTGTCTAGTTTGGAGAAAAGGAGGCTGAGGGGCAACTTTGTTGCTCTCTACAGCTTCTTGAGGAAGGGAAGTGGAGAGGGAGGTGCTGATCTCTTCTTCCTGGTATCCAGCGACAGGGTGCGTGGGAATGGTTCAAAGCTGCGCCAGGGGAGGTTTAGACTGGGCATTAGGAAGCATTTCTTTACTGAGAGGGTAGTCAAACACTGGAACAGGCTTCCTAGAGAGGTGGTCGATGCCCCAAGCCTGTCAGTGTTTAGGAGGCATTTGGACAATGCCCTTAATAACATGCTTTAACTTTTGGTTAGCCCTGAATTGGTCAGGCAGTTGGACTAGAGGATTGTTGTAGGTCCCTTCCAACTGAAATATTCTATTCTATACCCCCAAAATGTAGAATGAGCTCTCCAATTTAGTTTTTCAAACTTCAGAGGAATTTCAGCATTTTCCCCTTGCAGTTCTCTCCAGTTTCTTAGGAATTATCTGCAGATTTTGCTAAATACTTACCCTAAGTTCTCCCCCATCATATCATTCCTTCTACTTATAACCCCCTTGCATGACATGCAGTATTTCCTGTTAGTATCACATTCTCAAAATATATGTACACAGCTACCATCTTCCACTCCTACTTATGACTTAGCAAACTATATATACTTAGTTCTGTTCTTTTATTCTTCTCATAAATCCAAAATCATTCAACCTGTTAAGCATCCTGACATTCTTCTTTGGATTCTACCTGATCTATCTATCTTTGTGAAGGTGGAACATCAAATGAGGTACTTTGCACTTGACTGTCAAAGAAAGGGGATGGTATTTTGATGGCACATTTTACACAGTTCAAAACTATACTGGTTACCTTACTACGATATTATATTCTACGTTTTAGACCACTGTAATAAACACAGTGTTTAGTTAACACTCCCCAACTACCATGTTGCAATGACAGTGCCAGAGAGCAAGCCTTTGAAGAAATCAAGAATACTACTCAAGTAAAATCTAAATAGGACCTGGGTCTTTCCAGAGAAGAATGAAAACAAAACACTGAAAATCTACTCATTCCTTCTGTACACTGAATACAAACCATATTGAGGGCGGGGGGAGTCCTTCGACCATATTATTACTGAGTCATAATGTACACACATGAGGAGAACTGCATGACACCTTAACATTATTATATCCTAGCTTTTGCATGCCTGACTTTATAATGTTAACAGTCTTCCATTAGCATGACTGGCGTTACTTTTCACTCTTTTAATATCTTCCCTTTCAAGGTTTCTCTTCATCACTAGGAGAGAGAGACATTTGTATCCTGCATTTTATCAAATCGAATCTTGTGTTGTTCTTCCCTGCACATTCTATTAATTTTTCCTCAATTTCCCATCACTTCACATCTTATGTTTGAAAATCTAATTGGAGTGTTGTTTAACAACATTAATGATCGGTAACAAGGAAGTAAGTAAATCCAGAGCCAACACTGATCTCGGAAGACCAATTTAGATACCCCTTCTACTCTGTATACTGTCAATTTTGGTCTGTCATTTGCAGTCCAGGCTTTTTATAACATTGCTCATACCCAAAGCAATAACATGTTATGCTTGAGCAACTCAAAAAAGAATAAAAAAAAGTTACCTATGCCCTCTTCCTTCACTGTTTTTCCTAATCTACCTATAATCTCTCAAGCCCACCCCCTTTTTGGTAGGATTTTTTTTTTTTTTAAAGAACTGACACACAAAATTCACTACTGGAAAATAACATCTGTCCATTCTTCTTCCAGCTCCTCCACATCTCTCCTTCATCCTCATATGTCTTATTTGCTATTTATAAAGAATAGCAAATATATGAGACTGTATTTGGTCTCTCATGGGAGGCACTATTAATTTTGAGGCAGATTAATAGAATGAAACACACCAGCATCCATTATCTTACAACATATCCCACTTACTGTGAATAATTATCTTGAGTTACAGGATTTTATCTATTTATTCTATACATTTGTAAATTCTATAAATATAACTTATGTTCTAAAAGATCTTTAAAATTCCATTTGCCTGTCAGCGACATGCTTTCCTCTCTAATATATCGTAAATCTGAGAGACTAAATAGTAGTCCAGTGTCCACCTCAACTACTTTTCAAGATGGTATAGGTTAGAGGTACTTAAAAAGGAAATCTTTATGTCATAGGACCTCGGCATATTTCGTAACCCCTATTCTCACTGAACACTATTCTCTTTAGTGTTATCACTCCATTTCTAATAACCAAGAATAAACTGAGGCATGGATAGGCAGTAGCTGGCTCAAACTACAAACATATCCATCCCACAGCAAAGAAGTGAACTTACTTAACCCATTTTCAGTCCTGTATGTTACAGTGTGTTTTCTCTTTTAAAAAAAAAACCTTCTCAAAGTAGTTTTGTAATTATTATTTAAATACGATGTAAAATCAGGTGCATCTCTCACTAATTGTTACTATAAACTTGAGGTCTCATTTTTCTGAAACGTTTTATTTTCATATAGGTTTACTGACAGTAAGTTACCATTACCAGCAGTTCCAAGGGCTACTGCATAAAAACAAAGTGCAACAAAACTATCACAATGGGATCATGACGGGCCATTCCCAGACACAGTAGCTGTACTTGCTCTTGGTTTGGGGGGTTCCACATTTTAGTAGTATTGGTAAATTTCTGTCTGGGGTATATTAAAAGGTCTTCTGTCCTTCTTGACTCAAGCAAGATGGACAGTTATGGTGCCAACAATACCCTGTCAGTTTGGGGGGGGAAATGGTTTTGTACTCATTACCAATCCTTTATGGGACTGAAACCAGTGACTTTGTATATGCACACCTATTTCACGACAGGAATTTGTACACTTAATTCCATTAATTCCACTTTATTTTCCTACATAGCAAGCATACTTCTTAATTGAACCATCTAGATTTTACAGCAAAAACTCAAACCAATACTAGCAATACTTTATTTTTATTTCAGCATTTGATTATTCTCCTTTGTAAATGAACAATTAATTCTCTAGGTGGCTACAAAATTCCCCACACTATAACATTAACTAACTTATGCAAGGTAGTTTTTGTAGAATAACGAGTCAAATGAAGTCACTGGTCCAAGCCTTTCCCGGCCAGACAAAGAAGGTGTTACAAGATTTCATCCTCATGAGTGTCATCAAAAAGTTGATACCTATAGCAACATCCCCAACCCTAAAATCTAATAGCTTTCTTCATAAGCAATTCCTGTCGACCCTGAATAATTTCAGTTCCTCCTGCCTCTTTATTATTACTCCTTTTCCTCTTTGTTGCATACCAAATACACTCAGCAACATCATCTCGTCTGTAGATGTGGTACCAAGTGATTCTACTCTTTACAAGAAAAGGGTGAGGGAAAAGCAGTATGGTGACAGAGGTGACAAAAATAGATTATAAGATTTCAACATTACCTAAAATAGAGCTTAGTATTTGCACTGTGAAGACTTAGTTCCTAACTAAGGAAAGCTACATTTGCTGAATTATACCCTCAACAGGGAAAATTTCAGCTGTGCATCACGTACGAGTCAAAACCGTCAACTGTCTTCCCCATCATTTACTTACATAGATCCATAATATGGTTTCTGCAAATGGCACAGTTATCAACCACAATGTCCCATGCCCACAGAGCTACTGCGTTCCACTAGAAAGAGGGGAAAAAAAAGAAAAAGAAAAACATAGTTTTGACTTAATCTACAGCACACAGAAATCCTTGTTATCTCTCAAGATTGCATGTATTTTTTAAATGGAAAAGCTGGGAAATTAAAAAAAAAAAAAACAAACCTTAGAAGTCCAGAGTAATTCAGAAGCTTACTAGAAAGCAGTGGTACATTCCTCTCACATACCTCCCAGACCCAATGTCTCCTTCCAACTTCAGAAACAACAAGATAACTCCCATAGTCCCCTTTTTTGTGAAACAAATGCAAACATCTGCATTTCTATTCAAGATCCAGAGGCAAGGATGCAGCTCATGCCACAGCCTCAATTCTGATGGAAAGGACAGTGCCTTGCGGAAAGGCCAACCCAGATGCCATTTTGTTAAGAGGAATTTCCATTATTCGCAGCAGTTCTTCTAGTAATCACCCCCCAGAGCAGTTGGGGCCAAGAACTAAAATAATCTCTAACGCTACCCTTCGCTGAACTCCTGACTCTGCAAAAAGGTTACTAGGCAATAACCTACCAGCAAGACTGAATATAAAAATTTGAAAGTACTACCAAATTAACCTTTCAAAAACTTTGTTTATAAAAGAAAAATAAACAAAAAAAGGAATATCTCTGTCCCATGCTACTTTAGGGGAAGGGTTGGCTACAAATTTCCATGGCAATTTTAGAAAACTGATTCAGAATGAGGACTTTAAGACAAGCTATGCAGAAAAGCATAGCACCTTTTCATTCCTCCCCACAAAAAACATAATCAGGTCTTTTGTAAATTCATGAAATAGATGGGCTTGCCTTCAATATTCAAAGCAATCCAACAGCATATTGGTAGCCAGGATAATCTTCATTTACTACTTAAGTAGTCTAGATATTTTGTTTCCTTCCATTTTTTCAGTAGATTGTATTGACTTTACTACAGTAAATCTTCTCTACTTTATTCCATTTACATCTCAATGTTTTCATTGCTTCCTGTCAGCTCAGGATTCTGAAGGAGGAATGCAGATTGCCAAGTATCGATAAGCAGTATCAATTTTGATAAGCACTTCAATTTTTCATAGTACCAATCTAAAAAGTCACCACACTACTACTAGATCTTTCAGGAAATGGGTTAGTAGTGATTTCATTTTTTCTCCCCATCTTCTAACTTCAAGTCTAGCCAGCCTTCTGGCTGAGGTACTCATCTCTCAAGGACTTAATCCACACTTCAAGGCAGCTAGGATAAAAGTTCCCAGCACCCTTATCTCTCCCACACCCTCAGGTACTTAATCTCTTGTCCCAACATAAGCTACTCTTGCGACCCACAGACCTGTACTGAGCAACACATGCAACAAATGTGTATTGGTACCTTGCTGGAGAGGAGGAATGCCACTGACACATAGAAGGTGCCACTTCCTGCTCCTCTCATGTGCTATTATATCTGTCCCTATTTCCAAAGAACAAGCTATCACGTCATCCAAACACCTCCTTCTGCACCTGCAGACCTATACAGAGCTAGGGGTTTCCATCATCATTGATGACAGCTGCATCTTAAACAAACTATGCCTGGAGACCATCCTTCGAGCCAGGAATCACTGCTTGGAAATGTTTGCTGATATCCAGTCCAGGGGTCATTTTTCTTCAAATTCTACCTTAGTGCAAGCCCACACAGCCACCTTTCTTCCTCTGCACACTCGTGCAACAGGTTTGGACTATTACCAGGATCCAGCTGACAAACTGGTGGCACTGGAGAGAAAAGCAGTACTATGGCTGTTTTGGGGATGCAAACAAAGCCAGGGTGACAGGAGAGTATTTGCTGACTACACACACGTTGCTATGGCTTGATTTACAGAAGAAGGGAAAAAAAAAGCGGCCACATAAATTTGTGCGAAGCATCTTATGGAGCACATGGGGCTGCTCGGGTGACTGGGCCAGAGCGGCTAGGGCTGAGGAGGAGGCAGCACTCCACGCCTGCTCCCCGGCCTGAGCTGCCCAGAGGCTCCGCGTACCACGCCCGGCCAGGGAGGGTACAGAGCAGCCGAGGCCCGGCACGGCGGCAGCGCCCGAGAGGAGCAGACGGCAGAGCCCCCTGACAAGGGCAGCCCCCTCAGGCCTCCCTCCTCCC